TATATTCTATTGACGTTACTATTGAAATTGTTAATATTACGAATTAGGTGTGTTCATTTTGTCGTGTTAGGCATTGTGAACCTAAATCTAATAACAGAGTACGAGTACGTGCACAATAGCTGACGTTGATATGGATCCAATTATTTCCACATTTTTAAAAGAAGTAATGGTTAAAAACAAGAGAGGAAATGAAATGACGATCATTCAGTAATAGTTTTTTAAACCGAAAATGTATTTACTAAACAAAAAAGTGTTCAATTAATGATAATCGCTGGAACAGCTGAAGGAATCTGTATGAAATTTAGATTATAATTTAAAATAGCACATAACATGATTTTGCAAAGGAAAAATTAATTGACAAAATCGAGAAGAATTTAGATTCGAATCTTAAGTAGTTTCTATACTCTTTTTTTTCAAAGTACGGTCTTATCTGTAAGTCACGTTACGGGAAAGCAATATTAATGTGAAATAAGCTGCCCTGCAGAGAAAGGACTATGAAGTTATTTGGTTTAACAATAGGATATATTCAAACCCACCTTGGGTTTGGATATATCCTATTGTCACACTAAATTTGGATATATTTGGATATATTCAAATATATGTGTAGTTTAATTTTAATGAGCCAGGATGAACGATTACAGTCCTGAGGAAGGCTGGCATCAGGCAGGCGACCAGTAGTAAAAGAAAAATCCAAGATTATTTCGCAATGAAATGAGGGGTGCTTGAAAGAGGATGTCGAGTGATAAAGAAGAATGGAAGAAGAAAACTTATTCCACCAACCTCAAATAAAATTGGTGAAATGGTAGAAAGATGATGATGATGACAATGATGGTCTTCCGAGTAAGATAGTAAAATCGACCACAAAATGGAACGATTACTTTGCAAATTCTGTATTCACCTTTTCGGGCAAGAAACATATAAAAAAAACATAATTGCCGTTATTAAAACAGTAGGACAATGAGGAAATATAAAGAGGAAATTAATTAATTTCGCAGGTTTAATTAGTTAAATAACACGGATGTTTACACTAAAATTGTAGCTGCAAACCTTTAAATTAGTTTCATTAGTTGTTCTTGGTATAAATTCAAACAATTGTTTAGGTCCTATGCTTACTGCAATTATTGTTTTATGTAGATGTGTATACATATTTGTGCAACAAATTAATTTTCACAAGCATATCAAGTTGTATAAATTTATATAGAGAATACTCATTATACTATTGTTCTTCTTTGGCTAGCATTGCCTCCTCGCAAACTAAGGCGAAATCTCGGACTATGCACAGAATCCGAGAATATTTCTGTTGCGCAAATAACGCATACTTAAAAAAATAAGTTATTCCGATTGCAAAGCACTAACGAATTGTACTAAAATAATTTATAGCATTGATACCCTATTGTAAAGCTATAAAGTTATGAGAACCTATGATAATGGTTCACTATCCATTCGCATAAAATTTTAAGACATAATGTAACATGTCATAATTTTGTTTATTCTGATTATATTTACGCATAATACGCTTACGCTTAACTTTTTTAGCATAAATCTCTAATCACAATAATGTTTATGCATGACATTCTAAAGCACAAATTTATTTACGCTCAATGACATGAAAACATTTTTTTTATAAATATAACTTTCATAAATGTAAATCTTTTAAATTATTACAAAATTTAACAACGACCAACCAATGAAATATTATCAAAACATATGCAGACTCACAATCATGAACCAAATGCACTTGGAGAAAAGGTAAGTTTTGTAAATTTGCTATGTATATGGGCCTTGGGCCAAGGCCCATCCCCGCCGCACCTTAACCTATTGATACACAAATATTATTGGTTATAGTTTTTTATTTTTCAGATTCAAATAACCATAAATATAATAAAAAATGACCTATAGTCATTATGCCTAGTAACATACTGCGAATGAAAATTATACCAAAACAAATTAGCCTAAAAGATAATTATGGCAACATAAACTGTATGCCAAAAATAAATTATGGCTAAGTATCACTATGCCAACAAATATACCAAAACAGTGATGCCAAAGTATATTAGGAAAGAAACATAATTCGAAAAGAAGGTATCCCTAATATCAGGTGACAATTCAAAGCAACTTTGTGGTCTGTTTAAAGTCGGTGCCAACCTCGAAGCACAAGAAGTAAAACTTATGAATATTGACAGCAAACTAATAATTGCAAATAGATTATATAATTCTAATGAAACGAATAAGTAATACCTAAATATATTGTGTTAACTATTAAGGAGCAATCGATAAACTTACTAGTATACTACTACTTATTTGCAATAGTCGAAAAATGCAATCCTATCGAAATTATCAAGTTTACTGTTAAAATTGGTCAAAATATGTATTAATCTTAAAGTTGATATAATTATTTAATCTTAATTTCAAGTTGATACTGCCACACGATCCGGAGAAATAGGGTTTTGACCGACAGACAGTCTGACAGGCTGACGAATGGACAATAAGTAAAAAATAACCCTTCTAGGATATAAGGGTTGTTTTTTCTTTTAAGGAATATAATCCTTAACAAGAACGGACATCGCAATTACAGACAGACAGACATGAAACTAGCATTTAATAATAATAATAATATTATATTATATATAATATGTATTATATGGAAATATAATCTTTTTTGAAGTCAGTTAAGAAGATGCTACTTTAATTAGGTATCTTCATAAGGAAATTTTAAGGCTTACTTATATTGTTTTAGGATAACCACGATGGTGGTATTTTTAATACCTACAGAAAAAAAGATGTTAGATACAAAATGATACAGTCAATTATATAGTAAATGTCTGAATTAGGTTTGGGTAAAAAGGGTTTTAAAATTTGTCTTTTCAGTAAAGTATAGGTAGCTACCAAAACTAAATAAGTTTGTTGTTTAAATGCTATGGTTGATTTTCTATACCAATATCAACAAGCAACTATAAATCAATTAGATCTCGCTCCTAACCGCTGTGTAAACCAATAAAAGTACCAAATTGCGTATTTATTCGCAAAGTTATGGTCCATGATAAAACACGGGGCCATTTTACTGTTGAATCAATACAGTTGTGAAGATCTATTGTGAACATAATTCAGTAACTTCGACCAAATTAATTGATGGGGGCGAAGCTATTTTTATTTTTTGAGAATTTAACGAACCTCGTTAACGTTGAGGTGTCTTAATTACGGTTATTAAGTGGTTTGTTTTATGACTAAGACTGGCTTCAACCTAGATGCCAGAAAACACTCGAAGCTTGACACGGTATATAAAACTTTCTACTGTTTGATTTATTTATTACGAAAATTGAAAGCCTAAACAACTTGGCTAAAGAATGAAGCCTAAGGACTCAACTTTCCAAGCTTAAGTTACTCAATAGTAAGGCTAACCTTAAAAGTAAAAATTAGCTCTTCTCGAGGAGCAGTAATTCAGTGTTAAACACCTCTGAGTTAGTAAATAAAGTGTGTTTACCAACAAAAATTTAGTTAAACATCAGTTTAAAAAATTAATAAACGTTTCTTAACATTTTATATGAAACTAGTTAGTTAGTAGTCTTTAAAAATGGATGACAGTCTTTCCCTTCTTCAATAACTAATAATAAAAAATACAAACATATTCATTTTATTTTAAAACAGATTTTCTCAGGATTTGGAATAATACCTCTACACATATTTATAAGTTCTTGTATCTCTATGTTCGCACTATCCCTATCCATTATATATTTAAGTCTAAAAGTATATGATGACATTAGACAATAAAAAGGCATATTTATTTCACTAACTTATTTATTCTTGATGATCTAAAATTAAACAAAAAAGTTTTTCTAAGTTGGTATTATGTGATTATTATCCAATCCCCACAACAATTTGTGTGATCCACAAATTGTTGTTCTGAGTGTGCTTTGTGTCCGTTTCATGTATGTTTGTAAAGTCCCCCGCGACACAGGATATATATTCCTAATGCGGGAGTAGTCTTAAAAAAGAAAAAAAAAACTATATATGCAAAATGCTTACACTCTTTTAAAAGGCTTTATTTTATCATAATGAATGTTAGGAACATTTATTATGATAAATCAACTTATTATGTTAATATTTTACAGTAATGTAATCACTAAAGTTTGACCCTGTAATCATAAAGTAATATTTGTATTTAGCCGGTCATATCTTTAGACACTGGGCGTATTGTCTACACAATGATATCGCTCTTTTTTTATTGTCATGACAGGTTGGTTGGATATGTAAGAAGAACAAAGCGCCCATAGCGTCTTTTGTCATCTTGAACAAGCTATAATTTTATACTAAGCTACCTGTACATTACAAAAACTTAAGTCTCATTACTAATCTTTAGCCGGTGTATGTGTCAGTAGTACAATTCTTACGAAAAAGATGGCGCTTGACACAACAATTCAAATACATACAGACGTTTTCTGACTTTGAATTTTAGACAGAAACAGAAAATTGTTTGTTCTAGTTTTACTGTTTATTAAGCTGTGGGGAAAAAATCCCACGCCGTTGAATATCTATTTATTAGACTAACCTACAGAGGTGTTAAGAATAATAAACACCTACTCGTACGTGCTTCTATTTTAATAAAGACGAATAGGTCCGATTACTTTATGTTCTTATAATTAGTATTTAGTATTTATAATATCCTATATTGGTACAGCATGGCGTCTCTAAGTTCTGAGAGCAGACTTCAAACCGAAAGAAATCTGCACATAGAGAGGAGACATTGTTTATCTATATTACTATTTCGCACTTTCAGTAAGACAAAGGCATAAATGACAAATATTAAATATTGAATTACTAAAAATCCAAAGGGGATTTAAAAATAGCCCCTTATATAGTGAAACAAACACTACTATTAAGTTTAACTGAATATTACAGAAGGCAATCGTGCAAGATTAATACAAGGTATTTGAGGACACTTGTATATGTGGCTGCCATTTCATACGTAGTAGCACGCTTTTTCTTTTCTTTTCAGATTAAAAATGGAAGACAATAAGCTTACACAGGAAATAAAAAGACACGCTGTTATCGTCGCTTTACGCGCAATTCACAGCGATCTTGAAATCTCTGGATGTTTAAATGTCGCCCGATCGTTTGTACATAAAGTTCGTCAAGAGTTGGAAGCATCTGGAGACGATGTGGAAACTGTTGCCAAGCGCAAAAAGCATGAAGCACGTTCAGACAGTATTAGAACACCACAGTTTCAGGACATTATTACCTTACCGAAAGACCGTCATGTTTCTGAGGGCACAATCCGAAATACTGTCCACGAAGACCTTCGGTACAAGTCCTACGTGATGCGCATGGGGCAGTTTATGTCAGCACAAACTCGGAGTCAACGATTAATCCGGGCAAAACGACTTTTGAACAAGCTAAAACATCCTGAAAGGCCGAATCTGCTCTGGTTGATTTACGACGAAAAAATTTTTGACCAGGATCAGAAAACAAACCGGCGAAATGATAGGTGGTTATGTTCGGATCCTACAGATGTCCTCCATGTTATGCACACAAAGTTTCCCGCAACTGTTATGATTTTGGGAGTGGTGAGCAATGAAGGACACGTCATGCCGCCTCACTTCTTTTCTCATGGGCTTCGGGTGAATGCTGCCGCCTACACTGAGGTTTTAAAAACAGTTCTAAAACCCTGGATAGACAGAGTGCGTGGTGAGGGGCCATACCTACTCCAACAGGACTCTGCACCTTCACACAAAGCCATGACGACCCAAGATTGGATGTCCGAGAATCTGCATGACCACATTACCCCAAACTACTGGCCACCGAGCTCGCCGAACCTGAATCCTTTGGATTTCTACGTATGGGGCGTTAATGAACGGGATACCAATAAGCATCCCCATAACACGCTTGAATCCCTTAAAGCTACTATTACCAGAGTTATGACCCAAATGAATAAGGATCATTTAATTCGGGCATGCAGACGTTTCCGACAGAGAATTGAGGCTGTTATTGCTGCAAAAGGCGATTTTATTGAATGATTGTTTCGCTTAAGAGTCGTTTATCTAGCTGTAAAAAGTATATTGTGTTCCAGTAAATTTTGTTCGAAATACCAACAATTTAGTTTTAATAACAGTATGTCCTCAAATACCTTACGCACCCGATATGAACATAATTATTGGCAAATATTTGTTTTTTTTTTTAAAAAGGATCTTGTTTTAAATTACAAGGCGTGCAATTATGTATTTTTCTTACCGAAGGAGCGATTTGTTATTTGTTTTGTTATTTTAATTTAAATAAATTAAAATCTGACTTGAAATCCTACAAAGTGACAAAAAAAATTAGTAAGCATTGTTTGTTGATTTGTCACAATACCCTTGTTGAAGGCCTCCTATTTATCTAACTGCGGCAAAACAAACAAGAAGGGAGTGGCATAAGTTTGACCTGTTTATCAATGTCCGTCCCTTTACATTCATATTTAATGCAGGAGTGTCACAGACAATAAGGTGTTCTAAAAAATAAAATATTCCAGCCACACAAATGATAGTAATGATTTAGTTTCGGGATTAATTACGGCTTTGAGATATTTATTGTCAAATTTAAGACAAAACTAATCACAATTCAGGGTACTGTAAGGAAAGTAATTCGACCTAATTGTTTATATTTGTATCACATATTAGATTTACAGCTACATAAATATTAACTTCGGGTACTTAATATGTAATTTAAATGACAGTTTTTTTATTACCAATCAATCTAAATATTTTTCTATACCTGTATTCATTCTATTCTATACCATTCTATACCTGCTGTTATCAATTATGGGCTTTTTCGTAGTTCAAATACTGACTAACTAAAATTCGTTAACCTGCTTGGTGTTTATCTAATCACCACTTTGAATATGCAAATGAAAATACTATCGGCGTAGGTATTTACATTTATAACAGGCGCTTTTTTTTCGAAATTAAATTAAAGGTCTGCACTCAGCAGTGTTTTTTTGAAATTTAGTCTCATGGCACGAATGCGAATGTAAAATGCCCAGATGCTTAAAATCATGGCATCCAGCATTACTAACCTCACAGCGACAGAGTGAATGTTGTGCAGTTACGCATAATTGCGACACATAGGCGATCGTTCCGGTTCTTGTTATATGGATATTGATGTAACTGTTTGCGTCTGTATTAACTTAGTTTACCATTAAGTAAATATAAGTATACATATCAGTTTGCTGATGTTCATATTGTTTTCATTAAATAAGTAAATAAATAACAACCTCACACATCTTACACACGGCAATCTGATCCCAAACTAGTTAGAGCCTGTGCTATTGTAACCAGTCTGCTCAATTTCAGTAAGGACTCGGTTCAGCATACGCTGGCAATTTGCCTTATTGCTTGGGCGGTGCGGCGTCGGATCCTAATTGCAGTCATCGAAGAGGATCTATATTTTACCGCGGTCGCATCGAGGAAGAATCGATCTCGAGGAAGGAGGCGGCGGAGAAGGCTCGGGAGAATGACCTCCATTCGAACCCGTTTTGCCTCCAGCGAACTGAAGGCGACCGGTGCCTCATGCCGCTCGCTATATTGGCCAGCCGCGAGGAGGTGACATCTGCGTGTGCAGGGCGTCGGATAAATGGAGAATTCACCCGAAGTTTATGCCCACACCGTTGCGGGCAGGCGCTAGGAGAGGTCCGGATGTCTTAAAAACAGCTGTACCCGGATTCCTCCTATTTCAGGCGCAGAGTGGCATACCGTGTGGTTTTAGTTAGATTGATTTCAGCACACCGCCCCGCCGCAAACCTCGGCGGACTGTCGGCCCGTTTCTTTTCTACACATTAACAAAAATGGTAACCGGTCTGCTGATAAACATACTTAAGTATTTGTAAATAGACATTTTATAGATAATTTTCACTTAGATACAGAACAAATCATCGAGGTCCTAACACAATCATTTATCTTGGGTGGGAATCGAACCCACCTCCAACTCAGCAGTCAGGGTCATTAACCACTAGACCAATAGTGTCGTCATAAAAATTAATTATGGTCATTAATTCACAAAACATTTAATTTATGCTAGAAATTATATAACACCCAATATCAATATCTTGTTTACACAGTAAAAATTACGATTACCCTGAATTTGTAAACAACATTATAACAAAAAGGTCAAGCTATTTCAGTATTGAATAATGTTGTGAACGTTTCACAGAAAAATACGTTCTTTGGACGCAACTATGAGTAAGCAATTACGTAAGTAAATAAATTGTTTAGTCTAGGTGGGCGTTTCCATAGATGATGGGTACTTAGTAGTTTTAGGTGAGGTGTATACTTGGGTCCCTGCGCCGGACAGGCCTGTCGACGTCGATGCTGAGGCACAGTGGTTCCGGGAGGCCGTGACCCGCGTCTGCGATGCGACGATGCCTAGGGCTCAGCCTAATACTGTGAGGCGCCAGGTCTACTGGTGGTCGCCATAGATCGCACGGCTGCGTCAAACCTGCGTGACCGCGCGCCGCCGGTGGTCCAGGTTCCGCAGGAGGCGTCGTCGCCCCGAGGATGCGGCAGCGAGAGAGGCGGAGCTGTTAGCGGGATACAGGGTTGCCAAAAGGACCCTTCAGGCAGCGATAAAGCGGCTTTTGATATGTTTTATTCGATAGGATACACTTCCATTTAAAATGCACTTCTTATTCTAAATAACTTATTTAAAATTTACTCCTAGAAAAAATGACAGCCATTATAGCCACTTATGAATATATGTTTATATTATCAGCGTTTATAATAATTACAAATAAATAAATATCTTCTATCACAAGGAGTTGGCAAATGATTTAATCTGTAATTTTGATCTGCGGTTTGAATATGCTCTAGAGATTTAAAAATATACATATATTTGGGTCCTGGGGTCGTTTTTAGCAAGAAAATCTATTAGTATCCAGTCAAGCGCTCAGGTCTGCCCCTCAGTATAATGTTTAGTTCTATTCATAGATGCTTCAAAGTCATCACGCTCCATGAATTGACTTTATGGAGTGTTTACAATGTTGTCATTCACGTAGGTATTATCTACAAATAAGGTATTAACGTAGGTTTTGAAACACGCAAAAAGTAAACAAAATAAAAAATTATATTATATATTTTTTTAATATACACTATACAAATTTCCATCCGCCTAAAACAGTCTTGGAAATACTTATTCCAATCTTCCCCCGACAGATCAAAAATGGCTGATTCGTAAGCAGCCATGCTTCTTCGGGTAAAAAACTTGTCTTTTATCTTATATTTAATGGTGGAGCTAAGTCAGAACTGTAAGGTGGGTGAGGTGGTGTTTCAATACCCGATTCTTAAATAAACGCCTTTGTTCTGAGGGAATAGTGTGAAGACGCATTGTCGTGGTGTAGCATCATTCCCCAGAGTCTTTGGTCGTCTCTCCTGCATAGCTTTGAAAACTTTCGGCAATGCTACTGTAGTGTACCATTTTGAGTTAACAGACTTACAATTCTCAAGCTGATGTTATGGATTATTTCCCGACCGGTACGACCTTCAAACCTTCAAAAAAGGCTTCAACGCGTTTGTGACTCCTGAGTTGTAGACGTTCATGGGCGGCGATGGTCACTTTCTATCGGGTGACTCCATTTGTAAAGACAACTCTATTGTAGCAGACGAAAAAGCGGGACATGGTAATGAAATGATGACAGTATTTTTTTTTTTTTAAATTGCCTTTTTTGTTGCATTTTCAAACAAATTGGTCTTTTTATATTATATAACACGAATGCGTTCCTTTTTCAAGTTTCGAGTATCTCAAAACTTATATAGTGACTTACGAATAAACTGATAGCTTGAGTGGTAGTTATTATGTGTTGAAAACGGTGGAAAATGTGTTTTTTTGGCACCTAAATCCATAAAATTATAAAAATATATATGCGATGCTGTGTACGAGTAATTATTTCACTTACTTTTGTATATTTTTGTTTGAACTTCCACACAGTGAATTAAACATACAGATGTACATTCAAATAACAAACATACAGTGTACAGTACACCTTTGCGGTTTCCATGCAGATATTTATTTATCATATATTATAAATTATGTGTATACGAGTATGTAGTTATATCTTTTAAATATTGTGACAATCGGAAAATGTTGTACTATGTCGTTTACGAGATAAAACAAGAAGCCAGCACTAAAGGAAATTAATGGTGTGTAAAAAAAACACAAGAAAATGAAAACCGGGTGACCTCGTGTCTTTCAACTCGCATTGGAACTTAACAGTTCCTACAGAATAAACACTCAACGAATTTAGCTGCTCCTGTATTTATACCGACAATTACGATTGACGGAATTTTCGACTAGCAAATTCAACTATTCAAGACTTAGCAATTCAAGATCTAACCGGGACATTGTGTTCATACCGTAAAGATATGCAACCTTGTATACAACATTATAACTTAATAGGGACGGAATAATGTTATGACTAATAATTTGGGCCTTCCAACAATCTGCCAAGCAGGAATTCATAAATGATTTTTGATGAGATACATAATTAATCAATTGATCATACACTTTATTGCCATGTAAGTAGAGCTTAGAAGATAGCTTAGCTTTCTAGTAATGATTTCAACTCGTACGCAACATGTGGAAACACAACCCATTTTTATTACATTTTTATTTTCTTTGATCTCTAAAGCAACGATTGTTATTTGAAGAATTCACACTAAACCTCGAAGACTATGAAACAAGAAATAGTACAATATAAATACAAAATGAATAAAGGGCTCTTACATTAAAATCGCTAAGGACATTATAGCAATTTACTTTTAAAGGTTTGTATAAATGATAGATAATGTTTAAATGAAAATAAACAATAACTTCTAAAGGTTTTTGAAACTAATAATACAGGTACAGCTAGGATTAGATATATAAAAGTTCACAAGCATTCCAGATTAAAAAGTTATCTAGCGCTTTGGTGGTACTCAATTAACAATTCTATGTACTTATATAATATAGGGTTAGTGTCAAGTTTTCCTTCTCTGTGCAGTGTTGTTGTTCT